TTCGGTTTTTTAAATACCGAAATTCCAATAATTTCGGTTGTTCAAAAATTTAAAAATGGTAAAAACATCTTTTTTAAAAAAATTTGTTATGAGGTGAAAAAACGGATATGCGAATAATAATATAAACTATTTGGTATTTTGGTAATATCAGAAACTGTAACGGATATTTACGTAATTTTCCCATGAAATAAATACAGTCACCCAATTTTACATCCAATGATCAAAATTAATTATGACCACTTTGTACCAAACATAAATAGTCTCATTACATACTTTTCCTACAAATGTTATTTTGAAAAAGCACCATTAAGATGGGCCTTGAAACAAAAGGTCAAAAGTCCTTTTGTGCATTAATTATTTACCTTGTGTTGATAATAGCACTTCTCTTCTTGTGCAGTGTCGCAGAGCAGAAGAATCATGCACCAACCAAAGGCGAATCACCTTTTTATAGAAAGAACTTCAACACCAAACCTTACCACAGAAGATTAAAAATGCTAAAGAACGCTTAGAAAATCAGAGAACCAAATATTCGCGCCCTTTCATGGTGTGTGCGCACATGTGTTGGTTTTGATGAAAGATAAACCCAAAATCAAAGACCAAACCACAAAGAATAAAGACAATAAGGATTAATAATAACATCATTATCATTAAAGCTTCTTTTCAACTATTTAAAGTCGGCTATACAAATCCTGATCTGTTATTCTTCTGCTCTATTAAGAGCTATACATTTAATGAGGCTTACAGAGAATGCCCTAGCATAACCAGATAATGTAGATTGTGTAACGTCAACATTCGGTATGGGCACTTGCCATGCCCACAATATTGAGAATGTGCGAGAGGGTTGAAAATGAGGCCAGTGCACCTAGCTATAAAAAGGTGTGAGAGTGAGTGGTTGAATGTGTGTGGAAAAAAAGATGTAGACGAGAGTGAGAAAGAGGTGCGGGAGTGAGGAGTAGAAAGAGAGAGAAAGAGGGGTTGTGAAGTGAGATAGAGAATAGTGGGAGAAAGAAAGAGGGTGAAAATTTGAGATGGGAAAGGAGATAATAGAAAGAGAGAGAGAGAAATGGGTGTAAAGTAAAAGTGAGAATAATGAGAGACAGAAAGAGGAGGGTGCTAATTGTGTGTGTAGGTCTTGGTGTGGAGCCATGTGAGACGTCCCATTGAGGGAGGAGCGCGAGACCTCCTGTTGGGCCGTGGCCGGGAGTCAGCCAAGGTGCGGCTCGAAGTGTGGCGAGATGTAGTGGCATCTCGCTACACCTTAGCATAAAGCCTTGGCGCGAGGTACCGGGAGGTACCTCTAGAGAGAAAATGAGGCCATTAGGCTTGTGAGAGAAAAAAAGCCGATAGAGAGAGAGAGATGTTGTGTGGTGCTTTCATATGTGTGCAAGTTGTGAAAGTGTGGTCTTGTGTGTGTCCAAGTATGCGTGAACAGTCAAAGAAAAATTGAACCGGAGCTGAAAGCAGTTCAAGTTCAATCGTTGTAATCGGTAAGCCGATGGGATCAACTGGTCTAATCGGATTAGTTCTCTTTCTGTCAAAAAAGTGTTAAAAAAATATCTAATAAAATATAAAAAAATTATTTAAAATATGATTAAACACAAACACATCCAAATAAAATTGAAAATTAATAAATAAAAAATAGATTTTAAATAATCGATTTTTACCCATGGGTATTTTTTAAATTTTTCAAAAAATGTAAAAAAAAATATTAATGGCCAAAACAATTTCCAATCTTTGCCAAAATGATGAAAAAATTTAAAAATACATTACAAACAAAATCACTTAATTTTGGAGATTTTATATTATTTAAAAAAAATTAAAATATCCATCCGGTTCATCAAAATAGGCCTAGTGGCATGTTCCGATTTAACCGAGCAGTAAGAATTTGAATTTGCCCGATTTTCCTACACTAAATCAGAATATGGTGAGTGGTGTATGGCATTTGCGTGAATTGTACCGAGGGAAAGAGAGGAACTGCAGATAGAGGTGTTTATGTGTACGAGTTATGATACATTTTGTTTGTATTTTTTATGCATCCACCCCTCATGCGAATAATAGAGGAGACGCTTGCAACCATTGCTTTCGGGTATTAAATATGCCCAAAGCGCCACAGAAGCATGTGTAATAAAGCCCATGAAAAACCCCTATATGACCTCATCAGGGCCCAAAAATAGCACAAAAGCGGGCCCATTACTCCAAAGATACTTCTAAATTTTAACCCAATCGGACATCGCAACAAGGAGAAATGAGGAATAAATGAGTACCATACACCATGGTGTACGAGTGGACAAGGCAAAGAACACAGTAAAAATCCTAGAATTTGTCTTCAGATGTCCTCGAAACCATCACGTATGAATTCAGATAGCCAAAAAACCCCAAACCCACAAACCATACAAAACAGACCTTTCTAGGTCCTGCTTTTTTAAAAAAAGGTTGTTTCCATGCTATTGATGATTTGACATAGGTTAGTTATCAAATATGGTAAAATCCTCCAACACTCCAATAAATTTGAGCAAATTTTGTGCCAGTGGAAACCACAATACACAAGTCTGATAAAGTTGAAATTTAGAAATGGCGTATTCCCCAAATGAGCATGTTCTTTTGGTATAGGCTTCACACATGATTGTTAGTAAAATCGAAAGAAAGCCTAGAGAGAAATCCGCAAGTTTTGAAGTTCATTAAAAAACCAGTTTACGTGACCTCTTCGCGTTTTTTTTATCATAACTTGACATCCAACCGTCAACTTGAGCTTAAATTTAGTGTATTTCAATCATGACTCAATTTTCTTCGAAATGACATAAGAGAAATCATGATCGGGTTCCAAATCGATGGCCATCCGAGGCTTGAAGTTGGGCACAACTTTATGTGTAGAAGGATTTTTATTTTCCGACGACTTACCAGAACTACAACTTGGTCGATTGAAGGTCTTTTCACGTATTCTCTTATGCAAAATATTTGTAAAGAGATCCCCTTCAATTTTCCATCGAAAGTTTCACAATAAACTTGGTATTTCCAAAGCAATAATCAAATAGTATCAAGGAAGATTTGCAAGAAAACCATAAAATCCAAAACTGCCAAAAACTTCACCCAATCTCTATGGTTCCTTGCAAAACATGTATCAAAATGATCATGTCGGGATGATCTACATTTTTTCAGTGATAATTCGACCATTCCGGCACCGGAGAAGCCGAAAACAATGCTCCATACCCTGTGATGGGAAGAGGCCCTCTTTGAGATATCTAATAGTTAGTTTTAGACATTATTCATGTCTTTTTCTAGTCAATTTATTTGAACTTTATTGTATTTTCTATTTTTTCTTCTTTTGACTTAATTTTTTAAGAGTTTGAGCATTCTCGCTTGTTTAAAAAGGAGTTCTATATAAACCATATCATTCATGTAACTAAGGAGAACTCTTTTTTATTTGTGGTTAATGAATTCTATTATCTTGAGAGAGAGAAAGAGATTTTGTGCAAAAGTCCAAAGAGTTATTGCCCTTGCCCTAAATCAAAACCAAACACTTGGTTAACCATCCCCTAGTTAGCTCAACCCATTCCTAATCTATCTTGGTTAAGTCTCTAACTTGACCAAGGTTACCCAAACCCTAATACTAACCTAACCATACCCCATGTACTACCATACCTCCTATCCTACCACACACCATACCTCTATACTCTACCATTCTCCACATCTATACTCCACATCCCAAACTCCATCATACTCCACATTCCATACACTATCATACTCCATATCCTATACCCTATCATATTCCATATCCTATACCCTATCATATTCCCTACATCAACCTAACCCACTTAGCTTAGGATAGCCCTTAAGGAGGCTCTTCCAAGGCGGCACTTGAGTAGGCTTAGCTCCGCCGTTGGACCCTGCCTCTACTTGTCGCCGAGCTACTTTTCTCGTGTTGTCCATGGCCCCCATAGGGGAGGTGCTGCCGAAATTCTACCGGATTCCAGCGCGCCCTTTTCCATTCCTATTCGCCTGCACCCCCCCAATCAAGCTGATTCGGCCAGGGGGACTCGGAACCATATTTAGGCGTAAGTTTTATGTGTGAGTCCCCTTATCAAGTATATGACTGGCGGACCAAGGATGATATGCTCTCAACACTCTATAGGGGTATATCTTGAAAAGCATATTGAATAAGATTAACGGTGTCAAAAACCCACTCAAACAGTCTCAAGCATCTAGTACTTTGTGTTGAAAATATAGAATAACCAAAAACAACTATACAAGTATTTCCTTTTAATTAGAACTAAATATAAACCACACAAAAATTTGAAAAGATGGTACAAAAGTACTTATGTGGAAAATCTGAAAATAAAGGCACGTATTTTAGTTAAATTTGTTATTTTAAAGACTTTTAAAGTTGACTTTTCACGATAATTATCTCATTTATTCTATTAATAATAATATCTTGGATACTAATTGATAGAAAATATGGAGAGTGGAGCTATAGTATCTCGTACCCTTTTTTGTAGAAAATATGGAGAGTGGAGCTATAGTTTCAATTCCCATGGACATAATAGACCTCCACCATATTGGAAGTAGGGTTTAAAGCTTTGGTTAGTGATAATTTGTAAAAATTGACCTCCATCATAAAGAGTTGAGAGCCTAGGTTAGAGATGACTTTGTATATATGTTGTTTACTTTCTTTCTTTTTTTAGCATTTCTTTCATTGGGAGTATATTGAAAGTTAATATTTTTGTTAGGACTTTTCTGAAATTTTGGGATTTGTTATAGGATAATTTGAGTTCCCGGGATACTATCATAAACTCCAAAGAAGCTACAACGACCAAAGAGGGATACAAAAGCAAACTATTCATCAGAACAACATCCTGTTTGGATTCTTGGAAATATCAAGATTTCTGAAATATAAGCCTTGGAACCTGTTTGGCACTCATGGGGTCTCCCCAAATCCCAGAGATGCATCTCCCTATAATTTTTGCCCCACATCTTGGCCCCATTAAATTTATTTATACAAAAAAAAAAAAAACGACTACATATTTGTAGTATCAAATTTCCAAGCAATGAAAAGTCCAAATTGGTCCATATATAAGAGAGAAGCTCCATCCATATTTACTCGTCAAGTTGGGACAAAAAGGACCGCCCCAAAAATCCAATGGGCGCCAATGAAAGACAGACTCAATCATCATCTACATAAATGGTTTCTTGCTTAAACAATCCCCCAAATACCTTCCTCACCTCTGGTTTGGGCTCTGTTTTCTTTGCTTTGGACCTTGTTTGGTTGATAACGGCCTTCCGAGGTGTTAGAGCTCGAGCCTTGGCCTGGCCTCTCAGTGTAGCAATTTGAACCTTAGGCTCTTCTTGTTCAGGCTTGTTTTTAGAGATGGTGGTCGATATCTGTGAGCTCAATTTGGCCCATGAGAAGTCACCTCCTAATGTCTTTGCCCTATTCAAGAGGCCTTCCACAGAAGATCCGGCAGCTTGGGCTTTCTCATTGGCCTCTTCCACAAGCCTGGCTGCTTTTGCTTCCTCTACTTCAAGCTTCTGTATTTCTTGCTCCAACCTTTTTGCAGATTCAGCTGCTTCTTGCGCTTTCAAGGTTGCTTTCATGGCTTCTTCTTCGAATTTTGTTTTTTCTTGTGCTTCGGCATAAGCTCGCCTTCTTCCATCCACAGGGATCACACTGCGAAGTGTAACAAGGACAACAGAAAAAACTTGTATGATTTTTTTAGGGGAGAAGATCAGTGTTTGAATAGTTTTCTTTCTATGGTTTTTGTAAGGGAAAAAAGTAGTGTTTGAAGTGCACTATTTTAATTTCTCTTTTAGGCCAGGGGAGCCTAAGAAGCAGTTTGTGATTGTTAGAGGAACATTTTTTGCAGTGCACAGGGAAATGTATTCCATGATCCCTATGATCATGGTAATAGTAATGTCATAATGATCATGACTGTCCAATCAATTGGTTGTATGGTGATGGAGGGAGGGACATACAGTTGAATTGATAACATGTCACACTCCTATCGATGTTAAAACCTATTGATGGGACAATTATGACCCTTATGACCGCATTGTTACCATGATCATTTGCTCACAGCATACTTTGGATCTCTTTTTCCTTGAAACTTTTGAATCTGCCATAAGTTCACCATCTGTAAGTGTGTGTTTGTAGAAATTCATATTTGAGAACTCAATGATTCTGGACAAAAGCATGTTGTTTTATATTGTTTGTACGGGACTAGGTTACCATCTTATCCCAAAAATAGTACATCTTGCAACACATCATCTACATCGTCCATTGTCAAGATTTTCATGCGTTTATAGATCTACTTGATTTGAATCCCTTTTTTAGTTTAAAATATAATTATTATATACTAAAACCAATTCTCGGGTCGACACCAAAGCTGCACCTTATGACAAAATTTAGAGGTGCGCCTTACTTTGTTTGTATAAGGTTGCAACCTCATGCAAACCTCACCTTTTTAGAAATTATATCCATCGATTTATGTGGTTGGTAGTAATGAGAAAGATATGGAGACTTATGGCCTCACCGAAGGTATGGCCCTTAATGGAGCAGAATGACGGACCAAGATTCATGTAGCCTACCCCAAATAGTTGGAAAAATGCTTTTATGATGATGATCCATTGATTTATGTAATTGTCAATTTGGCTTACCTTAGAAGTTGGTCTATAGGCTGCAAAGGTGCTGAGGGACTAGTGGAGACTTCAATGACCTGTGAATCAGAAGTGAATAGAAAAGAAGTTATTATTGCACCATTAAAGTAGTAAAATAGAGGAAATGGTGTAACTAATGTCAATTCCATTGCCATAAACCATAAACTCTTCCTTTGATAATTTATACAAATTTGTAGAATAGTAATTGAGATATAAATTAAAAGAATATTTTCTGTAAATTTTCTTTCCTGCACTTTTCTTAACCTGTATAGTAGCAATACTCATGTAAGAGAAATAAAGGAATAAACGAAAAAACTTGCTCACCAAGGAAACTAATAGTCAGCTTCACAAATGCATTAACAGTTCATCGTTCTGAAATGAATTCCAATATCTTAAAAATTTCAAGAAAGTTAATAACCTAAGAAGCTTACAAGGATCACATATCTAAGACATCTAAGAAACTTAAGTATGAATAAGAAAAACCTATCCAAAAGAAATTTAATTTACCATAAACTTGTATAGAAAATGTGGTTTATGTGCCACAGAATTCGAATATTTTAATGTTTTAAAAGAACTCAAATGGAGAATTTATTGTCAAAGAGATTCTATTAATTCAAGACACCTACAAATCAGTAAAAATCATATCCATCCGTAATATAAAGTATAAGAGTCTAATTTTCACACACATTTACTATTTCTTGATTACCTTATTTTCTGCAATGGACGTATTACCAAAGACATCGGCCACGAGGGAGGCAACTTGGTATTTAGAAACCTAATATAAACGCCACAAAAAAGTAGAAATGAATATCAAACAAATTTACTGCCTAAAATTATTAGTAAAAAGCATCTCAGGCACCATGTACCCGAAACTGAAATATTTTGGCAAACAAAATGACCTTAAACAACGCAATGCAATGCTGAAATTGCATCATTTACTTTGTAGGGGTTCCCATCCGAGCTTCCTTCACAGGACACCACCACATTGTATGAACTTTCCGGCAAAAAGTCCTCCGTCAGCCCAGCTTTTACCACTGTGTAACTAACATCAGTCTCCACCACCTTGCACATAATAATGCTAAAATTCATTAATAAAATGGAAAAAAATGGAAAAACATAAAACCATTTACATTGTTTTTTTATTTTGTAGAGGGCAATGTTGATATATAAATATGGCTCATCTTACTTTAAAATTGAAGGGGATAGGGATAATATACTATACGACCATTTTTTGCATGAGAAGATCACAATCATTACCTAATTGTTAGATGTGAAACTTGACAGTTTGGGATGTGTCACAAATTGTGGAAAAGAAAAAGGGACTTTGAGCCTAGTTGATGGCATACTTTAGTCACCCAATTTCACATACAGTGGTTGACGGTGATTGCGACCTCCTTACATATATAAAAAAAAAAGAAGGAAAAGTTTACATAGAGCTGAGACTCTAAACAATCAAATCAGAGCCCACCTCAAAAATTTCACTAGAAGAGGTTGTTTTGATGCCTAAGTACCCTCAAATTGATCATCTCGACATCAAGATGCATGGACATGAGAAAAAAAAAAAAAAATTCAAGTTTTGGAAATAGTGCATCTTGTAACGCATTTTTGGAACATCAATTGTCAAGATTTTCAAGTTTTCACAGATCTGCTCGATCTTATACTATTTTTGAAGCGTTACATTTTATTATTAAAGATGAAAATATATTTAAAGGCTATCATAAAGATTTCTAGTAATGAAACCACATTTCTCCATAATACTTGAAGGTGGGCTTTACTTTGTCTAGCGCCTCGACTCTATACAAACTGCACCCAAAACAAAATAGCCTTAATATATAATCTTTGTAAAAAAAACTCACCTTGGACAAGAAATCTTGTAGAGTTAGACACTGGTTTCCTCCAAAGAAGTTGGAGAAGAAGGTGGAGATCCCATCCAAGACATTGTAGGTCGAGGCCACGAATGGATTCGAGTCACAAATTACCACGACATGTTTCACACCAGCAAGTTGGGCAGCATTCATGATTTGTAGAGCATCTGAGTAATCAACTGCAGAAGATGGGCCATTCTCTGAGGGGCCGATGGTCACAACGGCCTTGCTGGCATTCCCGATAGCCTTTGCAATGGCCTCTGCATCACGGAATGAGGACTCCAGAGCATTTAAGCGACGAGATTCTTCAGGTGAGATTATCTACATTTTGAGGCATGTGAGTTAGATCCTAACGTGCAACTCATTTCTTTTCCTGTTCTTTTTTTTCTTTGTCTTCTAGTTGTAGAAAATCTTCCACCTAGATAATGAGTGACAGGGTTTCACTCTTGGCTCAGTAGCTAGGATGTTAGGGCTGCAAGATTTTGATGGTCCCAGTAGGAATTTCTTCTTTCTTACTTTCTCAAAAAACAAAAAAAAACAAATCCTAAAAAACAAATTTCAAAGATGTGTAAATGGCATGTTATTAATAGTTCTTTCAACAAATATATGAGTTGGGATTTTTTTTTCCATTTTTCATTACAAAGTAATTTATTAAGGGGCATGTGATGAAATGACCATTCTGCCAATACAATTTTACAATCCAAGTATATGTGGCACCTACATTTGTCGGAGAGGCGGTTTCTAAAATTAGTTGGCTAAGAAACTTTCATAAAACTCTGTTACATTTGTCCAAAAAAAAAAAATCATAAATGTCCATATAGAAAAGTACAACCTTCGTGGCTAATTCATAATTTGAAAAAGGGAAAAATTAATAAATAAAGAGCACATTACGCGGACATCTCACTCTTTTTATCTTCCCAACCCAAGCCATGTATTCTTCTTGAACTTCTTCCCAAACCTTCGAATTTTGCAGGTTTGCGCATCAAATTTGGGAAACATCCTTTTTTAAAACCAAATATAGGGTAAATTTGAAACAGGTCAACTTCGTTACTCCTTAATAACAACAACATTTCCATTACTGAATTCGGCCGTAATATGCACCAATATTCAAAATAATGACCTCTAAAGCCATATGAATATTGCCAAAATCACCATAAACAAATTAAAAAACCCTATAATTTTTTTAAGGGAAATTGACGAAATATTATTATCTTTAGGACCTTCGAATTTATGTCTGATTCTTGCATCCCAACTTAAATACACACAACCCAGATGCTGACCTTGTAACTAGCAGCAAGGCGCGCAAGCTCTTGGGCAGAGGAAAGATCAGGCACGCCAGCCCGAACAGCAAAGCCCCGACGAAGGAGAGCTTGCGAAAGGCGCACGCCTACCTGCCCCGTCGCCCCTGCAACAAACACTGTGTTCGGGTCCTTACGCCTCTGGCCACCAAAAGTGAGAGCTGTGGACTTGTTCGGAGGCGTTATGAATGACTGTAAATTGGGGATATTAGGAAAATCCAAGGTGAATTTGCTAGTCTTCTTTGCTTCATTGTTGGGTTCGGCTGATACTTCTTGCTTTCCAATTCTAAAGAGATTGTTGGGTTTTTTAGTTGAGGAAGAAGATATGAATGGGTAAGAACATTGTCTTGTGCTTTTTAGGGGAAGCCTTGAGACAGTGGAGTTGTTGATGATGGAGTGGGAAGTGAGAGTTGGAGCCATTAGAGGTGAGCTTGTGTTTGGTGTGATGTCTTGAGAATGGCATGAGTACACAGGTATTGATTTTTCCTTTCCTATTTTTTTTTTTTTTTTTTTTTTGACCTTAGTTTTATGGGTTATTTTTATTTCCTATTTTTCTTATCTTGTTTAGAGATCGATGTGGATTTGTCGCAGATAGATAATGTTGGGAATTTTTCGAGTTTCCTTTTATTTTGGGATCTTTCGAATTTTTATTTTGCTTATCTAGTAAGAGAGGGAAATCAACCAATAGCATTGTCACACATCATCGTTTCGTTTATCCATTGGAGAAAGCTCTAGGACCAAACATTTGGAGAGAGCTAGATATCACGTCATCCAAATAACCACTAAGTTTTCCTTGAACTTTTCTCCCCACTTTCTAATAAGCTCTTATTTTCGTGAAATGGCACAAACTAGGCGTGCCAATCGGCCTGATAGCCCCTTCAGCCCGGCCCTGAAAAATTAGAGCCTGGGCTACAAAATGTGGCCTGACAGCCAGGTCAAGGCTGCGCAATTTTGCCCGATGGTAGGGCAGCCTGGGCCAGACTTAGACTAGCGCTGGCCCAGTTCGGCCAGGCCCAATGCTCTTTATTTTTTTTATTTCTTTTATATATTTTTTTTATTTGGCCCAACCTGACCTACCCCAGACTGGCCTTGATAGAGCTAGTGCCGGGCTTGGGCCAGGGCCTCTCAGGACAGGTCCGAGCTGGATCGGACCTCAGCTGGCCTGGTTGGGGGGCCCATCGCCAGCCCTCGACACAATAACGCTTATTTTCATATTTTTTTACCTTTGAATGTCGACCAAACAAAGCTCTTGTTTTTGTATTTCGTAAAGGTCGACATAACGCCTAAGTTTGCCTCAAAGACGTACAGTAAATGGTCTAACTACCTCACGAAATGAACGAGATGCTTAAATTTATGCGAATAAAGGTCTAAGAACCTAAAAAAAAATCAATGACTTGGTGAAATCAACTAGTTTACAAATAAAAAATTATTGTTTAAAATGCTATTTTACTTGGACACCTAGGTTAAATTATCTGAGCTGGCCCCATTAACTTGTAAGCCTAAATAAGTTAATATAATTTGGCAGCGTAAGTTAATCGTTCCAAATTACTGGAATAACGCTACTTATTTTGAGCTACAAATGGGAAATATAATTTTTACTTACAAGCAAATGCATTTCCATAATTAGGCCTGGTGACTTAAGTGGGCCTAAATTACCCCCTCCCACTCCAATTAGAAACAAGTGATTTAAGTGGATCACTTACCAAAATACCTTATTCGTGGTGACAAACCCAAAACAAATGTAATTTGAATATTTGAAGATGTTTAAATAACAAATACATTATAAGTAGAATAGTTCATTTAACTACCTTATTTTTTTAGGTTTATCTGACCTTTTTTATTGTAGTATCCAAAAGAAATAATTAATTATTAAGGGATTGTCTACAAAAAATACTATTTATCGTTTATCCATGGACGTAACAACTATTCCCACTCATTAGATGGTTTGAAGTGAGTCACGAAGTCCGAGAAATTTTTTTTTTTTAACTTTGTATCTATTCAATACCACTCTTACAACCACCCAAGGAGAATAATGATTGTAACCTCCATTTACAAAACATAACGGTTGAAGTTTGTACAAAATATCAACCTTAAACAATCACGATAAAGTGCATCTTAAAACCTCATTAAAAAGACATATTTTTTATGCCAAAACTCTTATCATGGCCTAAAATTATATTTTTCACCCATATAATGAAATTGAAAGCTCTGAAAACAGTGCAAATCTAGCAAATCCATGACCGCTTCAAAATCTTGAAAATAAACGGTCTAGATAATGTATCATAAAATGGACTAATTTTAGGACTTATAATTCATTTTTTCTTTCATATCCATATATATATCACGGTCAAAATGAACAATTTTCTAGTGACAAAACAACCTTTTTCAATGGGGGTTTTTGAGGAGCACCTAACTTCTACAGCATAAGGTGGACACCTTATATAAGCTTTTTCCAAAGATAAATGGTCTATTTGTACACAATCCCAATTATTAAAGGAAAAAGTTTATTTGGAGTCGCGGCTCTAAACAATCAAATTAGAACCCACCGCAAAAATTTCACTAGAAGAGGTTGTTTTGATGCTCAAGTATCCTCAAATTGATCATCTCGACATCAAGACGCATGGACATGAGAAAAAAAATAGATTTTAAGTTTTAAAAATAGTACATCTTGTAACACATTTTTGGACAAACAATTTTCAGGATTTTCAAGTTTTCATAGATTTGCTTCATATACACTATTTTTGAAGCTTTAAATTTTATAATTAAAAATGAAAATATATTTTAAGGCTATCCCAAAGAGTTCTAATATTGAAACAACATTTCTTAATATTATTTGAAGGTGTGCTTTACTTTGATTGTTTAGAGCCTCGGCTCTATACAAAACCACACCCACTATTAAAACGACACCAACAAAACGAAATGGGAGGCGCTCAGATGAGATTCATGGACCATATCCATTCCAAAAAGGAAATGGTAAACGTAAAGTCATGGTAATAACATGTAAATAATTGTTGTCACAGTAACGTCCTCATCTATTACTTGGTTGGATGATAATTAACTACGGAAAAGAAATGCTCATTTCAAGGGGAAAAACAAAGAAAGAAAGCAAGCCATTCACTAAGACAAAAAATGATTATCACCATAAGGGGCTCCTAATTTCAAAAGGAAAATTTTAAAAAAATAACCTAATATTTTGAAAACATATACAAATAGATTAGTACAAAAAAATCACAATCACTCCTCCATTAGGTTTCGAATTACGCAATTGTAAGAGTTTCATTGATAGAACAACCCAGTTTCTATGCGGCCAAGCCTGCACATATAGAAATGCAAGCCTATTAATAAATCTATTTTTTAGATGGATTTTTTAACTTAATTTTTAAGGACATGTAATCTCAAAAACAGAGATCATGAATATGAAAAAATAAGTAACTTTTAAAAACTAGAAATAATAATTCTAGTAATAAAACATTTGGACCGTTAGTTTTCATTGTTTCTAGATGGAACACCTACTTGCATCCATTAAAAAAATATATATTCTAACGGTAAACTTAAACAACCTCTTCTAGTGGAGAGGTTGTTTAGAATATATATTTTTTTATTTCAATTTCGTAACACATCCTAAACCATCCAATTTGATATCTAATTGCTAAAAATAACTATAACCTACTTATAACAAAATCAGTCTCATAGTATACCATCCCATATATTTTTTTTAAGATTTTAAAAAAGAAAAAAATTTAAAAAGGCAATTTATTTTTCATACAATGTCACATTTATTCTCATCCCTCATATTTTAAATTTAGTGGTTGCAAGTATGCCATTTACTAGTCTTGAAATTAAAAAACAGTTTCTTAAACTTCCTAATGCACCCCAAGCTAGAATTGATTGCGACCTCCTTGTAAAAATTGGTATACAATCCCCTTAAAAATATCCCTCAATTTCATATTTTATGCCCATGTACCCTTTTTATATGATAATTTTATTTTTTTCATCTACTCTTGATTTAGAACTTCAAGTTCAACCCAATGTCTTTTTTCCTCTTTTTTTCCCTCAGTGATATATCAATTCAGAACAAGAATTGAATCGACCTTATTTAGAATTAAGTTACTCAGAACTTGAAACTCCAAATCACTTATTCACTGTCCTCGGTCTGAAACTTGAAGTTTTGAAACGAGGACAATCTTCTATTTTATAAGAGAATAATTCAGAACTTGAAGTCCCTGGCCACTCAATTAAAATATATGTCCTCGATTTGGAACTTCAAGTTCCGAATAGCTTCAGTTCGAGCTTCAAGTTTTGAACCGATATTTTTCTTGGCATTAAAAAAAATATAGACGCCTGTTCGGAACTTGGAAAGTCCAAACTGCACGTATTCTAAGAGCCAAAAAAAAAAAAACACGGGCATAATTGTCAACCCCAATTAATTGAAAAGAGGCACGAAAGACAAGTATAATCGTGAGAAATGAGGGATCTTTTTAATACCACAAAATACATAGGATATTTACGAAAGTTTCCCATATAAAAATAATGGCACTTCAATAAAAATTGGATTATAAGAAAGTCCATTATTTTCCATTCTTCCTGAAAATAATTTCATAAGTACTTATCTTTCCAAAGAATAAGTCATATCCCAATCTTTGAACTATGACACCAGTCAAGTGGAAGAGTGGCCAGAATTAACTACTTAACGGCCCATATTATGCATGGGCAACACTAAAAGCCAGAGAGAAGAAGATAAAACTTTGCTATGACAATTAAATGAGATATTTGGAAGAGGCTGAGCTATGTAACTTAGGCTTTTGGGGGTAACGTAGACGAACAAGAATTTTCGAATGAAGAGAGTTGTGCTGCTAAGACTTCTGTACTTGAGTAGTAATTATAGATTAGATAGAGATTAAAGAGGATGATTGGACTACTCATTTGATATAGGCACAAAAAAAAAACTCCACACGTATCACCACCAAGAGATAAGGCAACCAAAGAACCAATCAATCTCTCTCTTTCTGTTAGTTAATTTTCATTCGCCAAAAAACCACAGCCATCCTTTTTACAAAAAACATCCATCATCATCAAAGCCTTTTCCAACTAATTAGGATCGGCTACATGTTTGAGCCTAACCCTTGCTTCCATTCCCTTTTATTACCATGCCTTTTTCGACAAGATTCTTCCTCCCTTTTTATTACCCTTCCTCTTTCTACAAGATTCTTCCTCTTAAAATCCCACCTATGAAAAGTAACTCTGGTATCCACGCTAATTTATATTAAAAAAACGTAACTGCCACCTAAGCCTCTTATCTATCCATCACCTTCAGAAAATTTCCTAAAATAACTCGTACAAACAGACTCATCCTAAATGGACTCATTTAAAGATTTAAACTTAATATCTTTAAAAATAAATTACAAAAATAAAGATTTGTTAGAAAGAAAGAATAAAAAAGAATACGATAATTTTTGCTACCGCTTTTCTGCTGGTCCCGATCTGGTAGCTTCAAATAATCTAATATGATCATCTCGACTACATCATCATCCCCTTGTTGGAGAGAACCCGCTCTCGAGTTAAGCTCTTTGTTACTCGAGGAATCTCTCCTGCATAATAAATCAGGTGCTCGACATTGAAAACATCAAAAGTCTTCATATGGCTTGGTAGATGGGTATTGTTATTGATCTTCAAAATTTTGCATGGCCCAATCTTTCGATTCTGGGCTTGTTATATTTCCCAGCAGGATACCTATCTTTGGTCGACACAACCCAAACACAATCTCTGGCATCAAACACTAGCCTGCAACGATGCTCATCTGTGGCAGCCTTGTATTTAGCATTACTAGCTTCAACATGCTTCTTAACCTGCTCATGAATGCCTTTGATTTAGTCAAGCCAAATTTTCTGCCCTGCCACTAAATTTCTATGCACGACGTATGGGAGTCAAATCTAACACACTATTTGGGTTATGTTCAGACAACTTCAAATGGGCTTTTCTAAGTAGTTTGATTCTGGGCCGATTAAATACAAATTCAGCTTGAGATAAAGCCAAACCCCACAACTCTAGCTTGTTTCCTGGCAACCTATGCAATAAATTTCCCAAGCTCTAGTTTATTACTTCTATTTGATCAGATGATAACTGCTACTAAATTCTCATCAATTTCCATAGAGATCTCTAGAAATGACTGATAAATTTTGCATATATATCTGAAGTGATTGACTTTGGAATGACATGTAATTAGACAACCCCCATAAAATTGATTTTTGCAATGTTAGAAGCATCCAAAGATTTCCTGTGGGCAATAAAATGGGCCATCTTGGAGAATCTATCTACCACCATAAATAACATACCTTCTGCCATACACCTCTTATGATTGGCATATATTTTGTCCTGCCTGAGTTTTGTGAACATCGCTGAGGTGCTTCCTATGTGCCTCAATGAGGGGCCATGAATTAATGTCATCAAAGTATGCGACAACACATTTACCAATAAAGGATCTAAACATATGATTCATCATTCTCATAAAGGAATTAAGAGTATTCGACAATCCAAATGCAGAATAACCAACCACTCAAATAACCCATCCTTTTAAAAGCGGTTTTCCACTCATCCCCACACCTAATTAGTAAGATATAACGTTTTCTTTTAATCAAGGTAGGGTTTCAAAGTAATGTAGTGGCAAGTCCAAATATTGTGAAGAGATTATCAAACAACCAAATGATATTAAGTTAGATAAAAAAAGGAGAGTCTTCGGGCTACTTTTCTAAGAATGCTAACAGATGAGTGATGAAAATTAGAGTTCTTAAAAGAAGAGATGAGGTATGGAGGAGGATGGATTTGAAGTAGCGAGAGAACTGTATAGCAGCAAGACATTCTAGGTCTAATTTTTCCAGGTCAAGAGTAGAGAAAAGGTCGGTCCAAGTTAAGAAGTTGCAAGCGGAGAGATCTAGAGAATTTTTTTGTTTTGTTATGTGGGACCTGTTGTTTTGTGGAACCTACTATTTTAGCAAGAGATAAAGACCTAGAGCAGAAGCCTGTTTGAGGGTTTCATGCTATGGAGCTCAATTTATAGGCCTGGACTCACTACAGTTAAAAATGATACGCTTCTCTTCACAGGGTCATTGAGAAACACATCCTTTCCAAGGCAAATTCCCTATTCCCTTCCTCAACTTCATTGCTTTGTTCCCTCGTCACATAAGTGAATTTCCTTCTTAGTTGAGGTTGAATTATTTCTCTTCAATTTTTATTGTATATATCCTTGTCCACCAATTACATTCAGGTGATCAGGTCCTTTTTCCCAAGACTCTGCTCAGTCAACACATTGTTTCTATTATTGAATGTCAAATAGCATAAATTTACTCTTCACAATTACCATGACCCCATGTTCTTGCAGGATCTCGGAATGAAGGTTCCACAGCTTTCATTTCTTCAGCTATCCCTCCTGGAAACTATTTATTCTCATATTCCCACTCCCCCTCGTAGAGATGTTCAACACTTTTTTGCTAACTAAGCTATTCAACTGGTATGATATGGCTTGGTTCCTTTTCCATTTATTATTCTGCAGTTTATGCTTATGTTTATTCCAAAACATGTTTTGACCACGAGATAATGGAATCAATACATAACTAATAAAGTCAAAGAATCTTTTAATAGCATCGCCTAGTTCAACCAAGCTACAAACAAGACTGCATTTTGGCCTTTGGGGGCTAGGTCTGGCCAAATCACCAAGAGGAAAAGCAACAATAGCTTCCTTCAACAAAAACCTTCAATGAGAAAAAGAGCATTAAAATCATCAAGATACACACAAAAACAAAGACACAATGAAGAAAAGGAAAACCTAAACTATGTGATCATGTGCCATCAACCGATTCTCTCAGAGTCAATGTATATGAGGCCACATTCTTGTGTGGCAGTTCCAATGCGGCCATATTAAGTGGCATGTTTTATTTTTTAAGTGTTAACTGTTGAATTGAGTAAAGAGATTGAGCAATCCACAGACCGGGTGCTCTGTGAAAAAAACCCCTTACGGGGCCCAAAAAATTCTATACATTCACTATATAGATAGCCAAAAAAGGCAAACAAAAGGTGGGGCTCTAGTGGTCAAAAAGGTGCCCAAAAGTTCCCTGAGAGTTCTGCTGTGTGGCACACTCCTTGGCAAGGGCATCGGCTGCAATGTTGGCTTTCCTCCAGATGTGCCACCAGACAACATGAATAGGAGCAACCATCAAAGTTTAGCTTAGATTGGCCCATTTCAGGTGGCCTCCAGAGTGATCTGGGTAGATCTAAGGTTCAGCAAGTCATTCCAATTGTGGTGAAAATCAGAGAGGGAGC